CTGTGAATTCCTAGAAGTTTAGATATTCATAGCAGTTTCTAAGTTCAGTGTCCACACAATGCGATGGGAAACTGGCCCCAAGCGTTTCCATGAGATTCTAAACACTTCCACACGGCAGCACCCATCTTAGATCCTTCCCTGAGTTTCTCACTCCTTCCAACCCCTTCTGTTCTTTCATAAATTATTTAAAATTTGTACTGAAAAATTACAAAATGGGTTTTTTCCTTTGTCTTAATTCCATATTCTAACGTAGGGGAAAGAGGGGCAGACAGGATCACGTGGGAGAGGTATATTTGAACTGAATCACGGAAGTTCAATACCAGAAGGTGGCACACTTTTTCCTAAAATGCATTCTTTTGCTTTGAGGACTCCCGATGCAAAAAAAAAAAAAAGTCATACTGATTTTCTACAGAGCTTTGAAGCTTTTTGCAACACGGGGAAATCGCTGCTGAAATGGTTTAAAGATCTGGTGGTAAAGTCAATTTCTTCAGAGAAATGCTTGAGACATCTCAACTTTTGAGTTCTGACTGCATAGGAATGGGGTCTGAACTAATTCATACAGGACGGTCTCAATTTCCTCATGGGTCCATCTGAAATAAAGATCACTGACTCAGGGAATGTTTCAATTTAAGTCTTTTCTGTTTCGTAAATTTTGGTTACGTTTTATGTAATGTGGGATGGACTAACTCCATCAAAGACTTTGTACTATGTACACGGAAAGATTTCCTTATATGTGCCCCTACTGGGTATATGATACACACCAAAGAAGAGGTAAAATAAGGGGAGAATGGGAGAGAAACACTAGGCCGTGTCCTAACAAGAAGGCTGGGCCTGGGAACTCCATACCTGAAATGAGGGCCAGGACGTCCGAGGGGGCAGATCAGAGGGGCCTGCCAGATTCTGTTGTGATCTGGCAGAGTTATCCTGGCTGATCCCCTAGATCATACGTACTGGGAAGGAAACTTGAGGGTTTCTCCTAGAGAGCCCAAACACTACCACACGTCTGCCAGCATGCAGGATACTTTCTCCTTAACTCACGTAAACTTTCATAATCTGCATTGTCAAGGGAAGCCATGACAATGGGCAGAGAAAAGATCTGGGTTCAGACTCATACCGAACCATAGTACTTTATTAACTATAAATTGCCATTATAATTTGAGTATTGGCAGAGGGAATGTGTTGGTATTTTTCCTTTGGGAGGACATTCTAGTCAAAGGGAAGAACAGTTTACAGAGTGGTGTCATTTAATATTATTTAAGTGGTGCGCTTAACTTCTAACTGGCACGTTCACTGACCATCTTCTGTGTGTCTGACACTAGAATTAAGATATGTATGTAGATCTCCACAAAGGCAAATTTTGGCTTGATAAAACACTTGAAAGTATTATCTCCACCCTATATTAGAAGACAGGGTAGGGCCGGCCGAATGGCGCGTTGGTTAAGAGCTGGCTTGGGACGCCAGCTCTGAGCAGCAGGGCCCCGGTTCGGATTCCACATGAGGGCCAGTGACACTGCCCTCTACAGCTAAGATGGTGAACAACAGCTTGACCTGGAGCTGAGCTGTGAGTCGCCAGTGTCGGCGTAGGCTGCAGCCCCTGCTGCACTGGGCCGCCGTGGGTGGCCAGCAGCCAGCGTGAGTGGCTGGCAGCCGGAGTGAGCTACTGTCCAGGGGCTGGCGACCCATCTGCCTCACCTGAGAAGAATGCAATGATGGTGCCAACATGGGCCAGTGAAGCGATGTCCTCCACGGCTAGACTGAGGAACAAAAGGACAGCAACTTGTCTGTTCCCCTTCCCCGATTCCCCAATAAAATCTTAAAAAAAAAAAGGGTCATAGGGGAGGAGTTTGAATTCAGACTCAGGTCCGTCTATTTCAAGGTCCCTGCTGCTGCAAAGGCTGCCTCAGGATTCAAAGAAATGTTTTTCACTGAAGGCATTCAAGTCTGTGCTACACTACCTGGTAATAAATAAAGGGAAACCCTCAAGGAAAAGTTATACTGGTCTTTTCACTTTTGTTTTCTTATGTTGGCCAGTAACAGAATCTCAACTGAAAATTTAAAGTATAAACAACATTTTAAACTTTAAGATACGATTTTTATTGAACATGTATAAGATACACCCTTACAGTATTACAAATACTTGACAATAAAAAAATCAGTTTTTGTAAAAAAAAAAAAAAATTCCTGCATTTATAGTTGTGCAGTTGAAACAAATATAAATATGAAGGTCATTCTCCAAGTATTACAACAGAATACTAATGGAGTCACTTCAATAAAATCTTTTTCATAAACATTTACATGATTACCCACAACTGTATGAATTTCCACAGGATCAAATAAATGCATGAGAGAAAGGTGATTGCAATAAGATTTCCAAAAAAACCAAACTGAATATACCCTAAATGTCTTTCTCTGCATGAGACTTGGTCAATGAGAATTTTCTTATATACATAACTCAAACATTTGTAAATGCTTAGTATATTTACTGTTCACGTAAATTAAAAATTTTGCCAGCTTTTGTCATATAGGGGAGTAGCTAGATACTACCTACACGACCATTTAAAATATACTGTGTATATATTTTCTTATGGAAAGTCACAAAAGGGAATAATAAGGCCTTTATTTCCAGACCAGTCTTAAAACAGGGTTAATATAGGCATATTTCATTCTTTATATTTTTAGACTTCATATTCTTTAACATTTCAGCTATTAAAATTATGCATAGTACCTAAGCTAACATATAAATAGTGGTGTAACACAAGTTCAACTACAGTACCTGATTATAGTCACATGATGTACCATCTAGGATAACTGACCAAGTATAATTTCTGAACTGCCTCAGTTAAAGACCTGTTAATAAAATACAACCCCATCATATGAGCCCAGTCTCTTTTGGAGCATTGTTATATGTACTGACCTAACACTTCAGAGTTCTTCAGCTTGCAAAGTGGTCTACTTAGCATGGAAATCTCAGTCTAAAATTACTTCTGGATGTTTTATTAAAACTCATTGCTACTTAAATATGTTAGTAGAATTTCTTTTTTCCTTCTAGCAACAAATGGGCTAAGTGGAAGACAACTGCGGCTCACAGTTTTTATGCAAAAAAAAAGAAAACAGAAGAATCTTGTTGGCTGTCATTACTAGGATAGTATTTTGCTGGAATGGGATGGTGGATTTAAGATTCTTGGTCAAGATTGTCAGATTATAAATACTCATCCACATTAGTTGTCCGTGTACAGAAGCCTTCAACACCACCACAAAGGGGAATCAACCATCAAAGTGGAAACTGGTGGCCTGGGGTCGCCTCTGCCTTTTGCTACCCAGGACATCCTCTTTGGTCTCAGTCACCAGCGCAAGTCACAGGAAGTGGGCCCCTGACCTGCCTCTGCATTGTCCCCCAAAAAGATTTTCTTATCTGATCACAGTTACGTAACTTTCAAATACCATTAATCTTTTTCTCTAGCATAGGATTAGAAGATGTTACATATCTGAATATTCTCCAAGACTGGGCGATCTGAAACTTGACTTTAATATTTAAAAATCAATGTATTAAGATCTACTTTTTCAAATTACATTTTCTAAACTCAAAACCAAAAGTGGACTTGGTATTTAATAAGAGTTTTTTTTCAATTGCTACATGGTTAAGATAGTAACAGTGTATGTTCTAAGAAAAGAAAAAGTTGGAAGTAAGGCAGACACTTAAGCAACCGTTAACAAATATTTTCAAGGACTGTAATGAAATATGATTGCAAAGTATGCTGATGGAACACAAAATAGAATAAAATGAATTCGAACCACTGACGACAGAGGACCCTGCTATCTCTTTTCTTCCTAATTAATGTTTGTTATATTTCCTCATATATCTGGTGGATGCTAAAATTATAAAGGCATGATTTTTATGGTTTTCAAAATCCACATTTAAAAAAAAATTCTATATCACTTTTAAATACCTCTGTATGAAGGTACTGCCCAAGGGCAGCTGAGGATGAGTAAACAGGGCCAGGGCCCTAATTACAGCACCGTTTACATAGCTGAAGAATGTCCTCACTGAATCTGGCTTACAATATAGTTTTTATTATCACTTCAAAACTGCAAATCATTTGCAGAAGTGCCAATAAAAAATAGATCCTAGAAATAATATTTTGAAAATAGAAAAATATGTTTTTAAAACCTGTCATAATAAATCTCTCTAAACAATATCTTCATATCTCTATTAAAAACTTTCTTTGATTTTTTTCTGTAATATATAATGAACAGATCAGTTCACTTGTTTATTCACAGACAGCACGTCTTTATCACTTAATATAACATTTTTCCTTTGTTAGACTAAAATGTTCAGGTCAATTTTTTTTTTCTTAAAAACAAATCTTAAAAAACAAGAAAGTTTAATGACTCAGAAAACCCTATCTCTTGATATTCAAAATATTCTAAACTGGGGTGTCATCTCTTTATAAATCTCAGAATTTATTTGTAAAAGTAGTATTGGATTCATTTGGAATACCCAATTCTTGAAATATTAAGTCCTAACATGAATTATTCAAATTTTCCTAAACCTCAATTTGGATATTAAAATAATGTTTTCTTAAAAATATTTTTTTCCTTTATTTTTGCCAACATGAAAATACCCAGACTAAAGTAATTCTTTTTTTTTTTTTTAGCTGAGCCATCCTGCTACCTGTTGGCAGCTCAGTGGCTGCTCAGCTCGGGCCAAGACTCGAACTGCTGTTGTTCAGAGCTCAAACTCTTGAGCGAGCTGTTAACCATCTGAGCCACTTGGCCTGCCCCAGACTAAAGTAATTCTAACATGTCATGTTACTTGGACACGGTCTTAAGAGTAAAGATTGGGACCTTCTAGTTCTACAGACTCTACATTTTTTTTCAGTGACTAATTCCAAGAAAACTGAGATCTTTTCAACATAGATGCTGTCACGTAAGACAAGAAAAACTTCTAAGGTTTATCTGCCGTGCTGTTAAACTGGATCTGGATTAGATATTCTTATTTTAAAAAGCTCTATTTGATGTATGTTATATTCTATTCTTTCCTCAAAACAACTAATTTCTGATATAGGAAGAAGAAAACATAGTGTCTGATCTTGGGGGCTACAACAGAAGACCACAGGTCCATGTCAGCAATGTCAGCTGTCCCCTGCCTTTTATCTACCACCTCCTGGGAATGATTTTTAATTTCAGATAAGTCAGGACTTAGAGAGAAAAGGCTGCTCTGTTTCTCATCATATCACAATTTCCCTCTTGTTCTAAATTTTGACTCCTGAAGTCAGCAGATATTATTCAGTTAGTTAAAACAGCTCTTATGTTAGGGTGCCTTATGGCAGCCTAACGTATTGAATATTAATTAAACTTCTCTTGAATTTCTTCTATAGTGCTTAGTGGGAGTTGCATAGCTTAACTATTATCAACAAGTAACAATACATACTGCATAATAATGGCATTATAGCCATTCATGTATTGCAGGCTTCAAAACACTTAATTCGATTTATGACTGATATGTTTAGAATTATTATGCATTTTACATGTTTAAACTATAATATAACTTTTTCCCAAAGCATGAACACCCACACTTTTATATCAATTATGAAAAACAATTAGTAAACTTAGCACAATACTATAGGTAGTATAATATGGAAGATTTCCTTAACAGGAATTATAACTATCTTGACAGAACTTAAGGGTTTAAATTATCTTCACTTATTGTTTTTCAAACATGAAATTAAATAATTATAGCCCAGATCTGTTGAGCACCTCTATCGCAGATTTTACACTTTTGCATTAGAACTCAACTCAGATGCAGAGGTCTGTTTTCCCCACCAGGATGTTTTGAAAGAAAAAGCAGTCTTTTCATTATCATGTGCAGTGACCACAGAAGCACGCTGCCCTGATGCTACCATTCTGATGCGTGGGAAAGGATAGCGGTGGGCGCTTCAGAGAAGAAATCGGTGTTGGCTTTCCTCTTGATAGACAAACATCTTCATTTTTTAAAGAGGTTCATTTTCTCATAAATGCTTGAATAAAGTGCATTCATAGCTCAACTACCCACATACTAAACCACAGGGAAGCTTCAGTTCACCAGCTTGGCTTCTAGCGTTTGATCACAACTTGTTCATAAGCGCCAGACACTGCCCTAAAACAATGGGGAAAAAAATAACTTAAAAATTTTAAGCCATCGTGTTTAAAACTCTTCTAGTCAACCTTGGCTCCAAAGAGAGAGTGCATTTAGGCATCTTCTGCCAGATTTGATTTCCACACGGTTTAAAGATATCACAGATGGAAAATATTTGAAATATTCAATGTTTATAATACATTGGATTAGTCTAGTCCCGGATCCTCTCCTACTTATTTTCCCACAGTAATCTAGTAATGTTTCCAAATTCTCAGCCTATTAACACACTGTGGAGAACATGTTTAATATATAAATCTTTGAAAATCAGTCTTATCCAAGAACACATATTGACTGGCAGTTCAGGTCTTGCATAGAAATAATGGATGATAGTTTTTAGCTGCTTTAGCAGTGTGGTGTCTTAATGTACTTTCCTAGGAAGTGCAAGAATTCTGTTAGTCAAAAATGCAATATCTTTATACATGATCAGTATTATAGTTTTAAGGCCTTGCGTCAATTACCTTAACCTCTTTGTATCTTTGTTTCTTCTTTTTAAAAACTAATAATAGTATGTTATGGGTATTAAAAGAGATAATGTAAGAACTGAATGAAACATATATAGGCTTGGCACATAACTAATAAATGCTCAATAAGTGTTATCTATAATTATTATATATTTATTATATAATTATATAATTATTATGCCTGCAAGTTCCTTCTCTTTGTTCCTACTACCAGGAATATTTGTCTTCCTCATACCCACCTGGTAACACTCCAATCTATCTTTTATTCACCCAAAGACTTTCTTCAAGTGTCAACTCTTCCAAGAAGTTTTCTGTCTGGGAGTGATGTCCCATCTCTGCTCTCTCAGTTTACTCCATTTCTCTATATTATAGTACTTATCATACTATTAAAATTTTTATTTTATTTGTGTATCTCACCTGCTAGAAAGAAAGGGTCAGATGATAAATATTTTAGGCTTGGTGGGCCATATGGTCTCTGTTGTACTGCTCAACTCTGCTACTATAGCACAAAGCAGCCATGGACAATACATAAACAGGTGTGGTAGTTCAATAAAACTTATTTACAAAAACAGGCAGTGGGCCAACAGGGCTGTAGCTTGCCAACCTCAGGTGCTAGACCATAAGCTAGCCGAGGGTAAAAGCTAGGTCTTTCCTCTTTGCATCCTTACCTACAAGTTGGCCCAATAGATAGTTAAAGAATTTAATGAATGGATAAGTCAATGAAAGTTTTGAAAGGTCTAAATTGTGTTAATCCTCTGTAAACCTCTTTTCAAATTAACTGTTCCCTTATAGCATCTCTCTATGACCCTCTCTTATCTAACCATCACCTCTGACTGTAGTTAGCTGTTGATGTGGGTGTTTGCTGTATCCTTTGAGCCCTGCGATGTGCCAGACACATAGGAGGTACTCAATAAAATGAGTATCAATAGAAGAAGTGAATTAAAAATTCTTTTGGGTTTTGAGCATTAGAGAATAACTGTCGTGGACCAAAGCGGGCTCCCTCCCCCTGCAACTCTGACTTCCTCTGTAGTTGTGCTGGAACTCTACATAAATATCACATGGAAATGCTGAGTATCAGGGGTGCACAGAGGACAGGGATCCGTCTGTGCGGAAGCAATGGAGTGATCAGAATTCCTGAGGTGTCCTCATTATCATTTATTGCAGTGCCAGGAATGAGAATGTGAGGTTTGGCAGGTGCATTTTCTTCACCTGAATCTGAATAACTATCAAAATGATGTTTGGTTTTCCAAAATTTTCTTAATATGTATGTTAGACTCCAGTAGGTGGAGTTAAGAGCACAAGAAAGGTTAATATCAGCAGATGATGCTCAGTGGCTACCTAACAACTCATAACACACAAGACCACTGACTGAAAATGTCATTTGGCTTTCCTCTTTCCAAAATATTAGACTAAGAACTCTTTTCTAAATGTCCTTTTTGTATTGCATCCCACCCAATGCTCTACTGGTCCTCTACTAATACATTCTAAAAATACATCTAAGGAAATCAACAAATAAACTTACATAATTTCAAATATACTTGGAATAAGGAAAACCAAGAGCTATGTGAAGAGCTGTACTTCTCAAGGAATTACTAAGACTTGTGTTTTGTAGCCTCAGTCTAAAATAAACTTTATAACCTTCTTCTTCTACTCATTAGCACTTAAAAGACAAAGTCAGTCTGTTCTTTATTTTAATGAGATGCTATTTGGAATACATACCTATTTGGAAGGTGATGACTGCCAAAGGCTGTGCTTCCCCCAGGACCCACAAATAACCGCAGTCCTTCTTCTGCAATGTACATTTAAAATATTGTGGGTACAATGATTAGATTGTAAAGTAATATTCATATTGTAATAAATTCATATTTTACATTCTAAAGAAATGAAAAACTTTAAAGAGCTACGCACATGTTTTAAAACAGGCAACTTAAAAGATATCCTAATAGTTATTTTTCATCAGCTTTCCTAAAGCTATTTTTCTTAAAACTGATTAAGACAGATCTTCCTACAAATTTCCACAAGTGAAGTTTAATTATTTCTCTTTACAACCAGTTATACAATGAAACCAAGTCTATTGTTAACTGCTCTCTATTCACACTAGCATGAGTAATTATACCTTTCAAATTAGTGGTATTTAAATTTTAAGTTCCAGTGAAAATGCTAAGGAGGGAATGAAAAAGATTCTGTTATTCACTATCATTTCAAGATCACCACCCAACCTTTCAAATTACAATAGAGACTTGAAGTACTAACGTCCAGTTCTGACAAACCAGACGCAGCTCTCTATCACAAGGTATACAAACATGGTAGACATTGGCGCATAATTAAAAAATACAATAAAAGCTTCCTTTAAAATTCATCTTTTTCAAGTTCATTCTTTTCCAAAATTAACATTCATTCTTAGATAAAGATAAACAAGCTACAAAGTTATCTTCAGATTTTTATGGGCATGAAATTTATTTTCCAAATGTGCACGAGTCAGTATCGTGAGGTCCTGCTGACCCCTGGGTTATACAAGCCTGGGTGACATACATCCATATATACTCAATGGTCATGTACACACCTTCTGCACTGGAATCGAGGCTGAAGTCTTGACTTTGTAATATTTTCTCCACAATGTCGTCAGCATCTACTCTGGTGTCATCAACTCGCTTCAGCTGAGATTCTACAGAATCTTGTTTCACTGGGCATCTTTGAAAATAATTAAAAATTTCCCCTCCTTTTTATTAAGTTATGATAACAAAAGTTTTTTCTTCTTCCCCATTTAAACTGAGGCCAAAAGGATACCTGTTGAGTGTTTCTGAAGCTGTATCTTCTTTATCCGCCGTATCCAGATTTGGCTCCACTACCTTTTGCTCCATTTCATCACATGGCTCCAGGATACTCTCAGTGCCTGTGGATGTACTTCCCACGGAGGTATTTCTCCTGTGGCAGAACTCAGAGAAACTGGATGACCGGGAGTGGCATGAGCTATACCCTATCAGAGAAAACACACCGCCATCACACATTCTCCTCCCACACCACAGCGATTTCAATAAATGAAATTCGAGCGATAAATGTCTAAGGAATGCAATTTCACTTCTGGCCTCTACCTGATACTTTGGAGTGCTGGCTTGCATAGCTTGATGTTCTGGAATGTCCACAGGCACCAAGTTCTTCTGGAACAGAAGCACTCTTTGCTGAGAGATCTGCAATATATCATAACATAATGTTACTATTATGGCCAACAAGTCAATAGTCAACTCGTATTCTACTCTGCGGATTTCCTAAACTGCCAAGTTCATCACCAAGGAAAATAAGTTACAAAGTGAAAGAGATCCCTTTAAGTCAGTACAGTGTAAACAAATGTACTGCAAAAAAATTTAAAAAAAACCATAAATACCTTAGAACTACAGTATTTTTTTTTTTAAAAAAACACATCAGATATACCTGGTGTTTGTTAGCAAGAACCATGTGTACATTTGGTACTGATGGTGCCAACACCAAAACAGCGACTGGACATGATGGGAAGAGACACTGAGAACAAAAACCTGATTTTGGAGAAGAAAATAAAAGCCAGTCAGATTCAGTGAGGATGTAAAACCTGGTATAACAAAATCCTTTTATAAAATATAAATTTATTATGATAACCTGGAAGGATAATCTGAGAAAGGGAAAGAAAAATAAAAGGAGGCCAACAGGAAGGAGGTTCGAGGAGGGGGAAAGGGAAAGAAAAAGCAAAGAGGAGATCAGAGGGAGAAGACAGCTGAGCACAATGGCGGTGCAGAAACTGCCTTGCCCAGTGGCTTTAAAGCCTGGCTATGTAACCTCATCGGAACACAAAGCACGCTAGCCACAGGCTCTACCGCCCAGCCTTTGGATTTCTAAGAGGTAAATAAAGAAGATCCCTGGGAGGGACAGGTTGCTTGGAAATCCAGCAACAAAAATTAAAACAAAACAAAAGCCCATCAAACCACATCCTACAGTTTCATTTCCAATGTTCACTTTTTTAAAAAGGGATAAATCCATCTGACAGCAGGAGAGGAGCGGGACAGGGAGAGAAGCTAATGCATTTCAGGTAGTCTGCCTCCCCTGGGCTGGGGGGAGGAGGAAGAGAGACTTGATGGTCTGTCTCCGGGTTGAGAGAGGGGAAAGAGAAGGGAGAGGGAAGAGGAGAGGAGCAATTAAAACACTGAAGTCTCATCTAGGTTGCTATGTTAAAAAGAGCCACAAGCAGGCCCCCTGAGGGCCCACTGCTCCCCGTGTGGCCATGGTGACACTAGCTCCTGGCCTTGTCCCCATTCCTTCACAGGTCAGAGCGGAGCCCTGCAGGTGTTGCGGCTGCTGTGTGGCTGTGGCGGGGTCTTCGGCGAGTGTGCGGGAGCCATTTGTGGGAGGGTAGGGTCGGGCGACAGGCCATATGACAGGGGAAAGAACACCGAACACCTCATTTCAAATAAAAAAGAACGTAGCAGTCTGTACACAGTTGTTTGTTTTGTTTCAGTACAAACAGAATAAAAAGTCGTTGCTCTGATGGTTAGGCAAACACCTGAAGAAAGGAGAGGTGATGCTCAGTGGGTGGGTCAGGAGCCGCAGGGGCTGGCAGAGCGCCTGGCTTGGTGGCCCTCTCCCAGGAAGCAGAGAGCACAGCTGTAGATAGTGTCAGCCTTGGTCCTTTTATTTAGAATAACCTTTTGCTTTTTTTTAAAGCAATGTCCCCACTCCCAAACTGGGCCAGTAAAGATTACATGAAAACTGGCACGCCTATCAGCTGGAAAACAGACGCACTGAATGAGGATTTAAAAGCTTTCCGAAGGAAAAGCAGAACAAAAAGAAAAAAGTCTCCTAGCATTTTCCCCATAGGTTTCTCTCGTGCCACACACACTCTCCAAAAGACCACTACAGATCCAATGTATACCACGCTCTTGGCTTTGCTGTAGAGAGAATCCACGACTTTACTCACATTCTGAATCGTTTCCAGATCAGCTTCCTAAGTTTTATCTACTGGGGGTTCATTGACAATAATCAGGACACCCTCCCCTGGCCCAAGACCCCACAAAACTTCTTATCAAGAATCATCTGTGATCATTTCCTTTCCACATGGGCCTTGGAGTTTGATGATGCTTGATATGTGTTCAATCTGTACTGGGGAAAAAGGCTCAGTGACTTGGATTGGATTCTGTTCCAGTAAGTTGCCACACCACTTGGCCAAGTGTGTTCTGATGGTTGGGTCATCCTGGCGCTCTGCCCGGTAATCTGGCAGGGCCTTTTCAAAATCTGCCAGTGTCTGTTCTTGCTAGCCTGGGCCACACATCTTAATGCTTCTGTCTGCCTCCAGCATACTGAAGTGAGAGCTTCTCACTCACTAAAGCCCATCTTCTGGGGTGCCAGGCATGGTTTTGCACTGTTAACATGTACTTCAGAGATGTGATGGCCTCGGGGCTACCGATGGGAGTCACAACCCTCAAATACCTCATGGAAATATGAGTATGCAGTTTTCCAATCCTCTCTGCTGCATGAGTAATACCTGACTGCATACCCAAGTGGCCTGCAATTTAGGGGGGGCAGCAGAAGGTATCTGCTGTGGTTCGAGGAGAGATAAGGCAGTGTGGGCTTTCGGCAAGTTGCTCAGGACATGGTATATTTTGCTTTCTAAAAGCTGTACTTCCACCAAAAGGGCTTTGTCATCTATCTTTTTCAACTCCTATAGCAGCTGAGAACCCAAATGCAGTGCTTCCTGGTACCTTTTGGTATCAAAGTACAAAGACACCAGTTTTGCCTCCAAAGCTTGGTGTAAGAAAGTTCCTTTCTCTGATTTGTCCCATTGGATGCACTCTAAACACAACTCAACCTGCTGCCTTGTAGCTGCTCCATATTAAGAAACAGACTGAGAAGCGATTGGACAAGACGAGCAGCTTTAGCCTTGCTGATTTGATGGAAGGGTCATGCGTACTTCAGAGTCCTCCAAGTCCTGCAGCTTGTCGTCTTCACCAGGAGAGACCCAGTTCCAGAGTGCTCTGTGCTTTGACCTGCACTGCCTCCTCACCTCCCTCCTGAATGTCATGCTTCACCATGGATGCGGGATGTTGATGGAGACCTCCCGGTGGTGCTCAGTAAAGACGGGGCTCCCTGGACTCCCCCACAGCCAATGCCGCCATCTTGCCACTCTCACAGCATCCCCTGCTGCAGCCGCCGATGCCAGGACTATAGTACTTTTAATAAGATTTAACAGCACTCTGAAAACTATTTCAGTTTTTATTGTTAGGTATTTTCAATAAAAATGAATCAGGTGTATTCTTATAAATTCTCATAAAATTGTCAGGTTTTTTGAGGAAATCTTGCTCTCAAAAAACCATCATGGCAATAAACTAAAGAACACTATTACTTTAACATTAATGTTGCTAGTGCTAGGCTATAATTTGGCCAAATATCTGTGGTTGAAGTCAACACAGCATGGAATACAGCACCGAGAGCAAAGGCTCTTAAGAAATAGATTACAGTATTCAGTTTCAAAGCAAATGTATTTAAAAAAGCCATTTCTAGTAGTTTCCTGATAAAGTGCACATTCCAGATGACAGCTATGTATGTCCAGAACCAGGGTTCTTCCACAGAACGCAGAACTGTGACCATTTTCATTAGGGTGAAATATTGGGAAACTAGAACTGTTTCTCACTTAGAGGCAAAGGAAAGCAACTGATTAACAGCAATTATGGCAGCAGTTGTATAAATGATACTGAACACCATTGGACCAACAAATGCTGCTGAACAAGTAAGGCACCGGAGAGAGCTGGCCCTTTGGAAAAGGGTTCTCATTTCTGGAGATTGTAAGATACAATCCAAACCAGCATCCCCAGTCCTGGTTTACAGTGGTCCCAAGTCCAAAGGTTGGTGACAACAAAGCCTGAACTCAAAGAGTTGGTTCATATCAAGAATTACACAGGACTAACCCATTACTCCCATGGTTGGCTCAGATCTTAACTCATCCATTTATCTATTGGTTTATAAAACTTATTCATTCAATAAATATTTATTAAGCTCTTACCAAGTCAGGTGCCCAATACTGTACATAGGGGGTACAAAATAAGTAAGACAAAAAAATATATGCTCAGAGTTTAGAAGCAGAAGCAGTTATAATACAATGTATTTAGTGGCAAGTACTAAAATAGCACCAACAAGCACCAAAAAGGAGCTAGTATAATAGAGCTCCAAAAGACAACTGCATCGAACACTACCTGGTAATGGGGGAAAGACCCCACAGAAGAGGTTAACTCCAGGTCTTTAACAACGTCTAGGAATTCCTCAGCCAGATTAGCTGAGGAAAAGCACAGGGAACAACATGGCTTGTTTGTAGAAAAGGAAATCGTCCGGTAACACTGGCATGTAGGGTAGTGGCGTAGATGACTGAAGGGAAAAGAGAGGTGAGCAGGTGCCTGCGAATGAAGGACCTCCTGTGAGTTTAAAGAAGGAAAGAATTCAATGGCTTTAGGCAAGGGTGCGACATGGTGAGATGTACATTTTGGGAAGATCACGTTGGCAACAGGAGAAACAGGGTGAAGGAGTGAGGGTTGTCACAATAATCCAGCTCAGAGGGAGAGATGTTTAGCAGGCACAAATGACAGGACTCAGTTACTAAGCAGAAGTGTGTGTCCGGGTGACTGAGAGAGAAAAGGAAGAGGAAGAGGTAGGAGGCCTGTGCTGGACGCGCGGAACTGACACACCCGAGGACACCCATTCACTGAATAGTCCCTGAATTTCTACTGTGCCCCAGGCATTACCCTGGAGACACAGAGAGACAAATAAGACCTGATCATGAAGAACTAGCTGAGGAGAAAGGTAATCAGATGGATGTCAGTGTAACATGTGACATGAAGTGGACCTTTCCGAAAAGCATTTGGAAATGTGTGCCTGGAGTTCAGGAGGGCGGTGTGGAGGCAACACAAATGTGTAAATCGAAAGCATTTAACTCATATTGACATGATCACATTTACATTTATGCGACAGTTAAATCCAGGAGTACAGATGACATTGTCCAGGGAGAGTGAGCAAAGGGAACCAAACCTGTGAAACATCCCCACTTAAGAGGAAGGTGAAAGAAGATGAAGGTGGAAGCCAGACTGCATATGTGTTTAGGAATAGATGGGTGGTATATTATTTCTGGAAGTTTGGCTATAAAAAGTGTGAGGAAGAGGGAGGAGAAGGAGAACAAGAGCCCACAGAAGAGCAGTAGCTAGAGAAGGATGTAGGGCTAATTAATGAGTTACTGGTTTTTGTTTTTTCTGCATGAGAAAAAATTCAGAATATTTACATACTAAAGAGAACAATCTAGTAAAAGGTTCGAGTACAGGAAGGAGTCACTGATCCTAATCCTGCAGTATCCTGTTTTCACCTGTGGGGAGTAGAAGCATACAGTGGAGGGTGTGTGTCACTGCAACATTTAGCTTTTAATCTGTCAGAACAAACATAACACTTCGACAAAACGAAGCACTGGCTTCACCAAAAACTGCATAATCAAAACTCTGCTGATACTCATTGGCCACTTCAAGTCCTATACCTGCAGAATTTTAAATCTGGAAGGGAACTATGGGAATCTTTTAGGACATCAAGTGATACTGTTTCTCACAAATTAAAAAAAAGAACAATAAACCACACATCCATACCTGCTATTCCAAGATGGATTTTGAGAGTCTCTCCACCTTTTCTGTCTTCTTCCAGAGATTCAGATTCACCAGCAATTGGTATAGACATTGATGTAGAAGGAGGCCTGTAAATACACATTTCTAAGGATCAGAACTTGGTTTATGGGTGAATCTGAAAGTTAGAAATATTGTTAGAGGTTGGTCATATAATCCAATCTTAGTAAGGTGCCTGGAAATGTTACCTCTTTGAAGGTGAAAGTTAATAAAAATCAACAAATAATGTATGAGCATCCTCAATACTTGAATGAAATTCATGGGGGGGGGGTTTGTTTTTTGTTTTTTTAAATTGGGGAACTGGGGGATGGGAACAGCGCTGGGGAATTGGGGGAAGGGGAACAGACAAGTTGCTGTCCTTTTGTTCTTCAGTCTAGTTGTGGAGGACGTTGCCTCATTGGCCCAAGTTGGCACCATCATTGCGCTCTTCCCAGGAGAGGCAGATCAGTCCCTGGCTTCTGGATGGCTGCTCATGGCGGCTGCTGGCCGCTTATGCTGGCTGCTGGCTACACACGGTAGCCCATGGCAACCCACTGCCACAGGGGCTGCAGCCTAGCCGTCGCCGGGGACTCGTGGCAGCCCAGCTCCAGGTCGAGCTGCTGTTCAGCATCTTAGCTGTAGAGGGCAGCGTCACCAGCCTGCATATGTGGGATCCGAACCAGGGCCCTCTGGCGTCCCAAGCCAGCTCTTAACCAACACGCCACTTGGCTGGCCCAGGGTGGGGGGATTTTTTATACAACAAAAAATGTGAGACTAGAAAGGGAGTCCGGAAAAGAGAAGGACTGTCAGTGTGCTCCCAGCACTAACAGTGGAGGGGGCTTCAATGGTCAACTCAATGCTCAGACCAGGCAGGGGGGCATTTGAGAGGTGGAGGCGGCAGCTCCAAGCCCCTCTGCATCTGAGGTTGTAGAGGAAAACCTCCTGCCTCCTGCCTCAGTGCCTATGCGCTCTTGTTGACTTCCCTAACTTCTTAAATACTATCTGTGATTTTCTTGTCTACTTTCTTCTCTGTAAATGCTCACTTGCTCCAGGGAGAGTCTATAAAGAACCCTGGTTGTTTATTATAGATTTGTGTTTTGGGCTGGATTCTCTAGAAGTAGGTGATGGATATATTTTTATTGGTTAATTCAAGGCTCCTATCTCCATGTTGGAGTTCTAACAGGAATTTTTTTTATTTTTTTAAAATAAAACATCCCTAACCTTGTGAGGTTGATCTTCCAGAGGAAAACCACGTTTTCCTAGAGACCATTCCTTGGTGACCTGAGATAAAATAGGAAGATGGTGAAGGGAATCACAAAGCTAATTCAGGTCGTTGAGGACATAGACATTTAAGATTGCCATTAAACCTAGTTTATTTCTTTATATCCTAGGATCTTCTCATTTCCGAAATTCCACGTCCTATTGAGAAATTTTCAATTATTTGCCCTGCAAGTAAATCAGTCAATATATCCCCAACTAAACTTATCTTCTTTCCCCAAATCTGTTTTCTTCTTGTATTCCTCATCTCGGTGAATGCCATCACAACCACAAAGTCACCAAAACTAGAACCCTAGGTATTGTCTATCTCCTTCCTACTCCCATTTTTCCACATCCAATTTCCAAATCCCACAGATTCTCTAATAGTTTCCTATTTACCATCTCTTCCCTGCCTCCACTAATTACTTTAGTTTGGCCTTTGTACCTTTTCCTGGATGACTGCAAGAGTCTCTTAGCTAGTCTGCCTACCTCCATTCTATGCTACTGTCACTGTGGTCTTTCTGAAGCGTTAAATGAACACGTTTCTGTCTTTTAAATTTTTATTGGGGAACAGCCATGGTCATTGGCTACACATTGCTTTCATGCTACAATGGCATAGTTGACTCTTTTAGGGTGGGCACAGCTCACAGTGGCCCATGCGGGGATCAAACCGGCAACCTTGATGTTACCAGCACCACGCTCTAACCAACTGAGCTAACCGGTCACTCTGACCACATTACTTCCCGATTTAAATACTTCAATAGCTCCTTAGAGGTAAAGTTCAAACTCCTTAGCGTGGTACTATAGGCCCTTTGCAGTCTGGCCTAGACCTATTTCTTCAATTACCAAAAGCTATATTTTTAAATACAGTAAGTCCTCATTTAACATTGTCAATAGGTTCTGTGACTCTAAGAGAAACAAGGTACAAACAAGACCAATTTTACCATAGGCTAACTGATAGAAACAAGGGTTAAGTTCCTAAGGTATCTCATCAATGTTATATCGAAACAACGTTATTTGAGGACCTGCCTTAATACAAAACAGCTTGGTGAAAAAACCTGCATTCAGTTTATAAGAAAAGCTAACATGTAAAAGAAATACACCTACAAAGAATGGAGTCTACAGTCACAGTCATTTATCATTGATGGTGGCTCATGCCTGCCTGTCTAAATTCTTATCATTGTAATGGCAGTTCCTTTGGTTTTCCTTTGACAGATGGCCTGATTACATTGTCTCTGTCCCCCCACCTCTCAGGCCCGGTTTCTGACCCTGCAGAGCTCCCAGCCTGAGGCCTCTTCCCTTTCTTCCTATCAGTCTCCCCCTGGCTCCACTCTTTCCTGTCCAGCCTGACTCCACAGCCACAACACTCTTAGCAATACCTTCAGTTTGGCACCCCTTGTTCTGCAGTCTGAGAAAACTTGCACAACTCCAACCCTCGATAATTTCAGCCATCTGCACTAACTGCTCTAATACTGGGGCAACTAAGCATGATGGGGAAAATTCATGAACCACAGGGACTGATATTAAGGCAAATTTAGAATCTAAAATCTTAGCTGTGCCTTGGCAGCTCTCCTAAGTCTCCGTAGACAACTCAGTCGTGTTGAATAAATAATCAGAGTGCCTATCATGTGCCGGCTTTTATTCTGTTACCCCTTTCGTTCTGGAAATGCTTTTATATCCCTTATGAAAATTATTTAATATAGCTCAATTACAGAACAAGAGTTGGGATTATTTTATTTTAATTTCACAGTAATGTTAAAAATATGTGAAAAATGATCTCCCAAAATGACCATACTACCTACTTGGTATTCTGTAAATATTCCATGCCCCATAACAATGCCATAAACTTGTGTAAGTCGTTTTCTCTTCCTGGAATGTCTCTATCCACCTCCTCTGCTTACTATTGTCCTATTTATCTTTTAAAACTTAGCTCAGGGGGCTGGCCAAGTGGCACGTTGGTTAAGAGTTGGCTTGGGAGCGCGAGCTCTGAGCAGCAGAGCCGCAGGTTCGGATCTCACATGGGTCAGTAATGCTGCGCCCTCTATAGCTAAGATGGTGAACAACAGCTTGACCTGGAGCTGAGCTGCTGCAAGTTGCCGGCAACGGCATAGGCTGCAGTGGGCTGCTGTAAGCTACCTGTGAGTAGCTGTCAGCCAGTGTGAGCTGCCGTGAGCCCACATGAGTGGCCGTCCAAGGACAGGCAACCAATCTGCCTCAGCCGGGAAGAGCTCAATGATCACAATACCAACATGGGTCAGTGAAGCAATGTCCTCCACAACTAGACTGAAGAACAAAAGGACAGCAACTTGTCTGTTCCCCTTCCCCGATTCCCCAACGCTGTTCCCATCCCCCGAATTCCCCAATAAAATCTTTGAAAAGCCAAAAAAACTAAAAAAACCCCCAAAACTTATTAGCTCAGTGTCACCCCCTCAGTGAAGACTTTCCTGGCTTTCATGGAAAAGTAGTTGGGGACTCTGTCCTCTATGCCTCAATAACATCATATGTTGTGTGTCCATTTCCCACATAAACAGTGAATCCTTCAGAATAGCAATGGTCTTACTCATCTGGGTGAATGTGAGCACATGGCAGGCTATCAGTGCACAGGTATGAATGAATAAGTGCATCCTGGGACCAGGACAAGCCAGCTCTTTAACCTCTGAGCCTCAGTGTCTTTCCTCACAAGTACGGTTACTATTCATATCACACAGTTGTTTCAAGAATCAAATTGGGAGACTGTAATATTCATTAAATCATGCTGACAAATGGTCATTTCCTTCCTTCTAGAATATGAATGCTCCACAGCTATTCAAGGGGTCACATCATACCTCTAGATCTGCTTTATCACCAAATTACCAGATGCCAGTATAATACATTTTTCTCTCAAAATATTCTTTCGCTTTATCAGCACTAGTGGTTGCCTTTCTTTTCAGAGTTAGTTTCATTCTCTTACAAGAGTTGGTGAATATTTTAGAGAATTACAAAACAGAGTTTGAAGCAGGTGGTTAGAGGTTGGCTTACCAGCTGTCTTCTTCAGAAAATACTGGCCTTATAGTATAAACTTTGCTTCAGAAAAACTATATAATTTATGTCACAGATCTTCTGCTCATAAGATACCAAAACTAGAATTTAATCTGAGGATGCTAAGGATTGGCTTTACTATTAGTTTTTCTAGTAGGTATTTAAAAAATTTTATATCATGAAAAATTTGAAGACAGACAAAAGCAGAGAAAATGGAATGAAGTTCTCCAGCAGTTATTTTAATTTCTGTCTTATAGGCAAAAATGCAGACAAGTCACTCAAGTGCTCTGTGCCTTAGTTTCCTCATCTGTAAAATGAGAACTTGGATTATACCAACACTTGCTGAACTGACTTCATGAAGCGCCATCAGGGAGTTCAGTGGGTACAACACATTTTTGCCTCTCAATAGAAAAATGTCATCTACTGGGATTCATAGTACATTTGAGCAAAAAAAATCTTAGGACTAAATATTATGAAAAAAAAAAATCACCAAACTGGGCAACTTCCAACATCCTTTTCAGCTCTAAAGTACTATGATTTTACATATTTGATATATACTAAAATATAACTTGATAAAAATAATTTCCTTTTTACATCAGTAGTTCTACCATTTTCCTATTCAATCCATACTCAGTACATACAAGTGCATGGATGTGTTGCCTTTTTCCCACTGATAGATGCATAATTTCAGATATTCAAAGAAAAGAGAAAAACAAATATTGGGGGTTTGATACTCCTGAGAAATACTTTTATGTATCTTGGGATGAGGTAAGGTCTATTTATTCTAATAAATTATAACAGTCTTTCTCTATAAATATAAACTCAGAATTATATTAGTGGAGATAATACAGAACATAAAGTGATCTATTTTTGAGCTTTTCAGTGTTTGAATTTCACAAGTAGAGAGATAAAATGGCAGAGAAAGGGCCAGTAAGGGACTATTTGTTCATAGAAAGTTCATGAGAGGAAATGATGAATTCATTTTCTTCTACTCAGTTTTGCTGCTCATTTTCTCATTTCACCCAAAACTGATTCCAGTAGAAAAACATATTGTCACCCTAGAAAATAAAAAATAGTATAGCAAAAACTGGTTAGCCCCAAGAGAGCAGGAAATAAGCCAGGAAATTATGGTTTGAGAGAAGACAGCACAGGAAGGCTGTTAGAGGAAAATGCAGTTTCATCAATAATTGATTTGTATTAAAGTATATATTTTCATGTTTACAAAACAGTGAGTAGAGAACTATATAGATGTTTCTATTAAAAACATGAAGTTGATGCATAGGGAAGTAATTAATGTTTCTTTACTTTTCTAAATATATTTTTCTCAGGTATTTAAATAATATCTAATTAACTTTCATATCTAATTATTAAGCATCTTCAATTGCTGACAGGCAATCCTACTACTTTCTTCCATTCAGTTCACTTGCCCCCTCTCTGAGAAGCCTTTTACACATCTTTTCCTCTTTCTTCAAACCACCACCTCCATCTTTCATATCCTTACTCTATAATGATCACGTTGTTTCCTATTTAACTAAGAAACTAGGAGCATTTTTTTTTTAAAGATTTTTATTGGGGAATTGGGGGGATGGGAACAGTGCTGGGGAATTGGGGAAGGGGAACAGACAAGTTGCTGTCCTTTTGTTCTTCAGTCTAGTTGTGGAGGATGTTGCTTTACTGGCCCAAGTTGGCACCATCATTGCGCTCTTCCCAGGTGAGGCAGATCAGTTGCCCGCTTCTGGACGGCCGCTCACGCTGGCTGCTGGCTACACACGGTAGCCCATGGCAACCCACTGCCACAGGGGCTGCAGCCTACGCCGTCGCCAGCGACTTACGGCAGCCCAGCTCCAGGTTGAGCTGTTGTTCAGCATCTTAGTTGTGGAGGGCAGTGTCACTGGCCCTCATATGTGGGATCCAAACCGGGGCTCTCTGGCGTCCCAAGCCAGTTCTTAACCATCGCACCACTCGGCTGGCCCTCCCTCTTTTTTGAAACACAGTCTTCACTTGGTTTTCAGGACAGTGTTCTCTTTTGGTTCTTCCTCCTACATCACTGGATGTTCAACCCCTAACATGCTGGATTGTCCCAGACCTCAGTTTGTGTTGTTTTTTAAAAAATTTATACTCACTCCCACTTGGTCATTTAATCATATCTCATGGCTTTAACTAGTATCTATGTGCTGATGATGTCATGATTTTCAAGTTTGTATCTCTAACTGGGAATCCCCATTGAATGCTGTAGTTATATATCTAACTGCCTACTTGATATGCCCAGATGCATGTTAAATAGGGATCTCAAACTTAACATGATCAACACCCAAGCTCCCACCTTCTTCCTCTTCTAGGCTCTCTCATTTCAATACATGGAAAAACCATTCTTCTAGTTACTCAGGCCCAAAGCTTAGGACTACTCAAACAGCCGCCTAACTCATCTACCGACTTCTACCCTTGCCCCCTTTGTTGCTCCCACAAATTGTCTGTCCCCTACCCAGCAGCCACAGTCAGATAATTTTACTCCTCTGCTCTAAACCCTCCAGTACCTTTTTATCTCACTCAGATTATAAGTGGCCTATGAGACTATTTTTTCTTTTTCTATCTGTCCCATTGAGTGAAAGCTGCCACTGGCACAGGCCCAGGGCAAGGATGCAATCAAGGGTTTTCTTTCAGCACCAGCTACCAAGTCCTGTCCTCACTGCCTGGGGGAGGACCTGTGAAAATGCTCAAGACTATTATTATAATGGCCTACAAAACACTTAATCATCTGGTATCCTTTCCTATTTCTCTCCTCCCTCATTCACTGTACACCAGACACACTGGTCTCCCAGCAGTCACTTGAGGGTGTCAAACACCCTCCTCCTGCAAGGCCTTTGTCCTTGTTACCTCTACCTCAAATGCTCTTTCCCCAAATATCTGCATGGCCTGTTTCCCACCTCCTTCACGTCTCTGCTCAAATATCATCTTCAGCAGGGAGGACTTCTCTGACTACTTCATACAAAATAGCAGCACTTCTCCCACTATGGCCCTCTTACCCTGCTTTATTTTTCTCCAGAGCACTCATTGCCATCTTTATATTATACATTTCCTTGTTAGTGTGTTGTTTGTTTTCAAATGTAAGCTCCAAAGCTATCAGGGACCTTGTCGATTATTTTTTCCCTGCTGTTTCTGAAGTGTTTAGAATAGGACCTGCATATGGTAAGGCACTTACTAGGTATTTGTTGAAGAAAATTTGTCCACAGAGGTCAGATTAAAAATTTTAATTTGTATAATTTTACCCAAAACCTAAAGATGGCAATAGACATATAGCTAAAATTATTTAGAGTGTGGATAGCTCCTTTAGTAATAGATAACAGTAACTTCCATGAGGGTCAGGTCAGCCCCCTAGGAAAGGAACCATCGCTTCACTGGTATTGGCCTGTAAATGCTAAAATATGATTGTAAAAATTTAAACACATAAATCACTACTACACTTTCAGATAAATAACACATTTACTGAGCATCAACTTACGTTTTAAAACACGGGTCACCAGACATCAGCTGCATGCTGATCAAAACCTAAACATAAGAAAAAGAAATTTCGTGATTATAAAAGATCTCTTGCAAAACAAAAAACTAAATAAATAAATTAAAAATAAATAAATATATACATCAAAACAAAAACCAAAACAAAAAAATCTCTTGTGAGAAGCCATGTCCTACTAACCTATGTATCCTCTAGAGCACCTAGTCCAGTATTTCCTACTTAGAAAGCATTAAATAAAATGATGGCTAAATTGGGTTATGTCCGATATTAAATGGCTGCTTTATACAGACACAGACTAAAAATAATTTTTTTTTAAAAAGATTTTATTGGGGAATTGGGGGAGAGGAACAGACAAGTTGCTGTCCTTTTGTTCTTCAGTCTAGTTGTGGAGGATGTTGCTTCACTGGCCTGTGTTGATATTATCATTGTGCTCTTCCTGGCTGAGATAGATTGGTCGCCGGCCACTGGACAGCCGCTCACGGTGGCTCTTGGCAGCTCATGCTGGCTGCCGGCCACTCATGCAGGCTGCCAGCCACTCACGGTAGCTTTATAGCAGCCCACTGCAGCCTATGCCATCACTGGCGACTCACGGCAGCCCAGCTCCAGGTCGAGCTGTTGTTCAGCATCTTAGCTGTAGAGGGCACAGCGTCACTGGCCCTCATGTGGGATCCGAACTGGGGCCCTGCTGCTCAGAGCTGGCGTCCCAAGCCAACTATTAACCAAATGCCACTCTGCCGGCCCTAAAAATCATTTTTAACATTCAAAACTTTGGCTTTGCAAAAACCAGAGCAGAGAAGACAGAAACAAAGAGCAAGTGCTTCTGCAGTAACGATCCTGTGGGTGTGTGCTGTGCTGTGCTGGTCTAGTGTGGGTCTTTCCTCCAGCAGAGTTAAGTGTTTGGAAGGTTTCCCTCCAACCTGCCATGTTGTCACTTGGAGGGGTGCCTGCTGGTGGTGGCCTGTAAGAGTAGAATGCTTCCTGCCTTTGCTCCAGCTTTAGATCAGAATCAAAGCTTTGCTGATGTTTTCTGAAATGCTGCTGTTCGCTAGTTGCTGAGTGCCTTTTAAGAATCAGCCATAAGATCTATTATGTTCTTCTGGGAATAATAACGATAATAGTAATATTAACAACATTTACTATTTGAGAACTTATGTGCCAGGCAGAAGCTAAGTGTTTTCTATGGATTAATTTAATCTTCAAAACTCCTATTAGAGACCGATACTTTGCATTTTAGCCTGTGTGATTAAGAGACATTTTCAAGATCAGGTAGCTAGTAAAGGGCAGAGATGAGTGAGACCTGAACCCAGCAATGCACAATACTAAAACTTATGGTCTCAATGAAAAACAGTGTAATATATATATACACACACACACACACACACACACACACACACACACACACACACACACACTGTTATATACACACTAATGGCTGATACGTATTCTACATTCTCATTTTATTTTTATCGCTTCACCCCAGTATGTGTCCACTATTACTTTATCTCTTTAAATGCTAAAAATACCAAATGCATAACCTACACTTGTTGTGCTGGTTTCCTCATCACCTCTTCTTTCACAGAACTCTACAATCTGGTTTCTAATTGCATCGAAACAGCACTCTTGACTATCTTGAATGTTTCACGAAGGAGATGGCGATAGCACACATAGCTTTCAAGAAATTGTGTAGGGGAGTAGAACTGTGTAGGGACAGTGGCTGGAGAAGTGTTGCCTGAGCTGTTTCTTTTTCTTTCTTTTTTTTTTTTTTAAAGATTTTTATTGGGTAATTGGGGAGGGTAACATTGTGTTTTTCCAGGACCCATCAGCTCCAAGTCAAGTCACTGTCTGTCAATCTTAGTTGTGGAGGGTGCAAGCTCAGCTCTAAGTCCAGTCACTGCTTTCAATCTAGTTGCGGGGGAGCGCAGCCCACCATCCCATGCGGGAGTTGAACCGACAACCTTGCTGTACACTGAACCATCCCGCCGCCCGTTATTGGAAGCTTGTGCCTGCTCAGCTCAATGTGCCATGATCAATCTTAGCTGCGGTAGGGGGGGGGGTGCAGCCCACCATACCATGTGTGAGTTGAACCAGCAACTCACTTGCTGCTAAGAGTATGCACTCTCACCAGCTCAGCAGCAGCTCAGCTCGGGCGGAGCTCACTGGCACATATGGGAATGAAACCGGTGACACTGTTGCTCAGAGCTTGCACTTTTAACCAACTGAGCCATTGGGCCAGCCCACTGAGCTGTTTCTTTATGTGTTAATGAGGATGGTTCATTAAAGGGAGAGATGATTAGGAAAGGTGAATATCCAAGGGGCAAAGCTCTTGATAGATATGCTTTGGATTCTAGAACCTAAGAGTAAGGATTGACTTCTGACAGGAAGAGGGACACTTCATTCATTGTAACAGCTGGCAAAAGGACAATAGGGCTGGAGAGATTGGAAGACTTGTAAATTGTATAATGGAAAGATGAGGGAATTGGAGTTTAATGGCTTCTATTTTCTCAATAAAGGATAAAGCAAGGCCATTAACTGAGAGCAAGAGTGGTGTGTGGAGAGATGAGGAGAAAAAAAGTATGAAACAGAATATCAAGGAAATTGGGAGAGGAAGTAGAGTACGATTGTTTGATGGTGGTGGGCATGGCTTTAGTACTGCCAGCTAGACTTGGTTGTGTGATCTTCTGCATCAATGTTTGACAACTAGGGTGCAGACCCAGAGAGGATAGTTGAGTCTGATTAGGGTTGGGGATTACTCAGGGGAAGACAACGGAGGGAGACAGGCAAAAAGGTAAGAAGTATTTTTAAGGTTACAATAATCATGGAATCTAAGCTGGATAAAGAAGAAACCAAAAGCAAGTGGAGGCTGAGAGAGAGATAGTGGTAAGATTAAGGGGAGCTAAGTGAGTAGTAGACCAAGAGGGCTGGAAACATAAGAGGTAGTAGTAGCAGGAGAGGGATACTTGACATTGGAATTTTGGAGATGGTAAAGTTTCTAGTGGTAAAGTCTAGAGTGTGACCATGGGAGTAGGAATAGAGATGAAGAAAAGGAAAAGGTGGCTGGAGATGCATAGTTTAAGGGACTGAGAGGCGTTAGGCACATATAAGATCAGCCAGGGGCCGGCCAAGTGGTGCGTTGGTTAAGAGTTGGCTTGGGACACCAGCTCTGAGCACCAGGGCCCGGGTTCAGATCCCACGTGAAGACCAGTGACGCTGTGCCCTCTACAGCTAAGATGGTGAATGAACAACAGCTCGACCTGGAGCTGGGCTGCCGTGAGTTGCTGGCAATGGCGTAGGCTGCAGTCCCTGCTACAGTGGGCTGCCATGAGCTACCGTGAGTGGCTGGCAGCCAGCATGAGCAGCCTTCCAATGGCCGGAGACTGATCTGCCTCAGCCGGGAAGAGCGCAATGATAATACCAACATGGGCCAGTGAAGCAACGTCCTCCACAACTAGACTGAAGAACAAAAGGACAGCANCTATTTTAGAGGTATATTTTCATTTAGGGCTTAAAACTGTGTGTGTGTGTGTATATATATATATATATATATATATATATATATATATATATATAATATTTTGTTATAATTCAACTGAGTAGATTAAGCAATGTAAGATAATTTAAAATACAGCCACATATATAACAGTGCTAACAGTTCACTCCAAAAGCAGAATAAGAAAGCTAAAAATATGCATATAACTTTTTATCTCATATAGAAGGATGCCAGACTGGAGTGGGAAAGAACAAAGCAAGGAACTCCCGCTTTTCATTCTAAGTCCTTCTCTTTAGTTTTTGAACATGTATACTTGTATGTATTACTTTGGTAATTTAAAAAATGTATATAAAACGTAAAACATAAAATTTACGTTTTAAAGCCAGTAGTTTAATTCACCAGTACTGGTGACTAATGGATCCCTCTTTTTCACTCCCCAAAAAGGTAGGATCACATATTTTATATATGATTAAGTTGAACCATCTGAGATTGCCATTTTTGTAGATTTTTGGTAATATGCCTCAACCTGATATGTAGAAAATACATAAAAAAAAGAAAATGTGGACGTGGAATTAGAAAGGTTTATGTTTGCGTCCTTTGCCATTTACTAGCAATGTGAATTTGGGTTAGTAACAGCCTCTCTAAGCCTGAGTTTTCCTCAGAATTGAAAAAACAAACAAACCTGTTTTCAGGGTTGTTATTAGACATAATATATGTAAAGTCCCTAACACAATGCCTAACAAAGAGGAATTTAATGAACGGTAGGATATAGACATACAGAGCCCCCCAAATAATACAAATAAGGTTAATACTTATATGCATACTGACAGTGAGATAATATCCTTGAATATCTTAATGTATAATTTTGGATTCTTTACCATATTTGTCATAGTAATTTAAATTTTTGCTGTAAGAGTGAAGTGAAATTACATAGAACAGTTCTAAGGATCAAGTAGAGCTAAATAAAGTGAGTCAGTGACTATGGAACTAATTATGGTTTCTGAAAGGGGAGAAGTAAGAGGCTATTTTTATACCTTCCTCACAGATACTCTGTAGATACACGGATCTAGGATGCCTGTGGTGGCACTGGCACTCATTTTGCACATAAATGAGAACTTCTTCCTCCAGTGAACACAGTTTGCTTGCACCACCTCCCTGAAGGAAAAAAACCAAACAAACCAGTTAATTAACTATTATTGATGACATATTTAAAAAGCACACACACTTTTCACTCAAGTCTATAATACGAAAATGATATATTAAAAGCCAGTATTCAGAAACAGTGAAACATGAAGAAAACAAATTTTTATTTATTTATTTATTTATTTATTNCAATGATAATACCAACATGGGCCAGTGAAGCAACGTCCTCCACAACTAGACTGAAGAACAAAAGGACAGCAACTTGTCTGTTCCCCTTCCCCAATTGCCCAACGCTGTTTCCCTCCCCCAATTCCCCAATAAAATCTTAAAAAAACCCCAAAACATCAGCCAGAGTGACAGACTCTACAGAGAAGACAGTCCTGAAGGATAGGTCACCCACGCAGATGCTGAAGTCACCAAACACGATGACAGAGAAAAACTGTGAGCCAGGGGCTAAGTCATCAATGAGCAGGAGAAAGAAGATAATTAAGTGGCCAGGAGATCACAGAGCTCAGAAGGGAGAGAGAAGGACTGCTGCATGGTGTGATCTATAAAATATGTTTTTGTAGGACAAAGTAGAAGAAATGGTGTGAAGGGATCAATGGGGAATCAGGAGGAAACTACTCCATGAGCTGGCTGGAAGGAATGTGGGGGTCTGAAATGTCAAAGTAATTTCAATTTCCAATAAAAACACCATGATTCGGAGGATTATCTATTTTCTTATACAAGAAGTATAAAGGAACTGAATTTAGTGGCTTGTTCAGGGTCAGTCTAAGAATGAACAGTGTCACCTGTTCCTTGTGAGTCTGTCTTTGACAGAATAGTAACACGAGAAGATGGCAGAGCAGGTGGTAGAAGATCGCATTCTGGTCTCAGCTCTGCCACCCACTACTTTAGTGAGACTCTTAACCTTCTGAGTCTCAGCGTTTTCATCTACAAGACGGAGACAATCTACGCCAATTTATTTCATAGAGGTATATGCAAGTGCTCTGGAAACTTTTCACTTACGGAGAGATCACCTTAAAATCATAAAATTAACAGGATGTGCACAAAAGTTATACTATGTTTTTTTCTAAATTTCTCCTTAAGTTTCACCATCTTCCTCTATATCCCTTTCTTAACAGCTGCTAAATTTGTGCAACGAATGGATCGGCTATAATAACCACTCATGCATTTTCACATCTTCGGGGCTAAATATTACTGAAAATAAAGTTTGAAAATTGCAGGTATGGAGTAATTCTTTGCTCTACTAACTCTGACCATCCAGTTTTTATTCATAATTATTTTTATTTCCTATCATTAGATAACTTACCATCATGGGTGACCTAACTGAAATCCAGGAAAAGTTTTATCCAGTGAGTTTTACGAGGTGCAAGACACTTTACAAACATTTTCTCAACGGGTCTCATTTAATGCTCCCACCAACTCCCTGGAGTGTATATTCTGTCTGTGGCCATAAAAAAAGTGGCTCCCAATGGTACCGAGAAACAAAGAGCAGACGCCCAAAGTGAGTTCCACCTATCCCTTCACTAGTGATAAGAGGACCCAGTGATTTCTCTGTGGCCACCACAGCTGCTTTGGAAATGACCTTTCGGGAGCTATAAACATTTTAAGCTCCCGATTCATCATGCTCCTTACTCCCAATGAGTCCTTGTGCTGCAGTGGTTGTGTGCACTGTTCCCTGAACGTCATAGCACCAGAAAGACACATTGGAATCATGATGGTGAATCTGTTACTTTCACTGCTTCTGTGATTTGCGTATTTTTTCCCCCCTAGGTGGTGAATATTTCGGTGGTGAGGTCAGCTTGTGATCTCAGTACTGATTCTCATCTTGCCCTTGAGAGTATATACCTATGCTTATTTAAAATGCAGATAATTTGTTGACATGTAAATCTTGAAACGTGCTTACTTTAAGAATGGAATTATCCTGTCTTGTATTTTTGGTATCATAGCCTTCCAGTAAACAGCGACGAGTGGTATTTCCTGATCCAGCAAACTCTGCCAGGTTTAGATCTGCAAAGCCCAGCTATGAAAAGAAAAATAATTATATTAATAGAATATCTACTAGGCTTCTATCTTATTCTCGTTAAAATAAACACTCAACCCATGCTCTAGACAAGCTATCTCAAACTTCAGTCATTTGTAATTTCTGCCATCTTAACAATACCTGTTTTTTATCTACTTAATGTGTCTTTAAATTGGCTTACTTTTGGTAAAAAAAATTTATCACCTGTTCTACTCGTCTTAAGCACTACAATCTTTGAAATCACAGATTTTATATGCTAAATATATTTTTTTCCTGTACACATTACAATATGTAACTGTTAAAGTGAAGTGAATCATGTCAAATAACTAAAATCATTGCAAGTAGCAGGGGTTCTCACACCACACTATGGGAAGCACGAGCAGACCCATCATGATCACTTGCATATACAATACATATAGAAAACCGACCGGTCTTCCTTCTCCCTAATCTGGTTCTGGCTCTGTCCTCAGTGAACCACTGGTGACTGCAGACAGTTGCAGGTTATTAAGTTCTCACTCCCTACACAAGAACCCAAATGATTTAAGGGCATCACACACTTTCTTTGGTACAAGCCCCTTCTCCTTCAGCATCTTCCGTAACTTGTCTTGCTGATCACCCTTGAGCTGACTCTCTTCATGAACCCTATTCCCTTTCCTTCATTCCCCAGAGCTGTGCCCCACACTGACCCTCTGCTGCTATCCAGAAGTCCAGCTCAGACCTGGTTCTCCCTCGTATCACTACCCAGGTTTGGTCCCGGTTTTATGCAGCTACCACAGATTGCCCTCCGGTCCTTCCCCCGATGTTGCTTAACCCTATTTCTTCTTTCCAAGTGGTACAACAAGTCAACCCTATTATAACTTTTTTTTTGAACTGTGATTTTTTTTTAATTTTAATTTTTTAAGCTGAGCTATCCTGCCACCTGTTGGCAGCTCAGCGGCAGCTCAGCTCAGGCCGGGAATCAAACCGGTGACCCTGTCGCTCAGAGCTCGCACTCTTGAGTGAGCTCTTAACCAACTGAGCCACTCAGCTTAACTTTTTTTTTAAAAACAAACTAAGTCTATTCTACACGACTAAGTATATAGAGAGTCTTTTGTTAACAACAACAAAAATGTTTTGAGTTTGCAATTATTAAGCACATCTCCCTGAAAACATAATAAAAAGTACTGATCATTTCAAACACTGCTGTGATTTTAAGTTGCCTGCTTTAAGATTTTAACACACACACTGGGCACATATAAATGGCACTCAAGATAAAGATTTTAATTGCCAGCTGGAACATTATTTTAGGAGCTTTTAACTGGTACAAAAAGAATGAAGGGTAAGAACTTAAGAGAGACCAGTTGAAGGGTCACAAGCCCCAAATACAATCAGAACACGTCAAGCCACAGGTAACATCTACCTAATTTTACGTGGTTACTCTGGTATTACTGCCTCTTTCAGGGGTCCAACAGATCAACCAAAAATCCTGGGTATGCCTAGGGCAAAGCCGCATCCAAATGACCATGTGAAGACCCATGTGGCTACATGACCACATATCATCCATATGCCCTAGTTCATACATCATCTTTTCTCTATAAACCTCCATTACCTCCTTCACATCTGTACTCTGATGATGCCTTGCTTCCCATTTCACTCAGAAGATAGCAATCAAAGAGCACTAAACTTTCAGAAGCTCTTATCGCCAGCCACATCCACTCACCTACCCGCATCTGTACCCACACATCTGCCTTCCAACTTACTGTAAAGGAGCTGGCTGTGCTCCCATCTGAGGCCAACCACTCTCCTCCCTACTCAAGTTCATTGCTCCAGGAATTCTTCCCTCTCTTTTGCATTCTAAAACCTGCCTTCTCTTCTGGATCATTTCCATCAGCACACAAATATGCTGGCTTTTCTCAATCTTAATGAACAAAAGAAAACCAAATCTCACCCCATCTCTCTCTCCAGTCTATTAAACTATTTTTCTCCTCCCCTTTATTGCAAAACTCCTTCAAAGAGTTCTCTATGTTGACTGTCTCTGATCCCTCCGTGCTTGGCCACCTCATCAACTTGATCTCCTCCTCCTCATTTACTTTTCCAGCCACAAGGTCTGCCTTCTTTGGAAATGCCAAGATCACTTCAAGGCCTTTAACAATGACTGCTTTGTTTTGTTTTTTACCTGAAAGATTCTCTCTAGATCTTGTGCTTTCTTCCTTTCAGTTTACCGGCTGTCCCCCCTGCCTCAACTCTCCATTAGAATGAAAACTCCATAAAGGCGGGATTTTTGTCTGTTTTGTTTACCGCTGCATCTTCAATACTTAGAATAGTGCCAGAAACAACGCCTGGCACACGGTAGGCAGTTAATACATATTTGTTGAATAAAAACCAGCCCATTGGCTTACCATCTACTGTTGGGATGCTGGTATTACAGTGTCACTAAGCATAATGCAAGTTAAAAAAAAACAACCAAAAAGAATCTGGTCAGTCCCCATTAAGAAAGCATTAAAAGGTGGGTATCTCAACGTGATGTTTCAGGCTGAAGGTCTGAGCACCTTTTATGTGCCAGGCTCTGTTCTAGACACTGGAAAATAGTGATGGACAGGGCAGATAACGACTGTCTTGAGAGAGCTTACATTCTAAGTGAGATATCACAGTCCATATTTCCTTATGATTTTGTCTTTGATTTCACTGATATAACTCATTAAATAAGACAGATACTGATATAACAGTATCTGTGGCCAATATCATTTCATTTATCAAATAACTTAGAGCATCTACACTCCAGGTAATGTTAGGCATTAGGAATGAAATCATTCCTATTCTCAAGGAGCTCACAGTTTGCTAAGGAAACATACAAAACAAATTCCTATAAAAAAGTGTAAGTGCTATGACAGAGGAAGGCAAACTGCAAGAAAGAGAAGAAAAGATACTTTCTCAGTGGGGAGGGATGACTAAGCTGAGTTTTAATGACACACGAGTTGACAGGACAAGAGAAGGGAGGAGGACGTGCACAGCAGGGAAAACATCAAATCACAAGGCAGTCTGTCTGACGCATAAGGATGAGTGAGTGTGTGCACATGTGTGTGCGTGTGCTCTGCAAACCAAGATAGGTCTAATATACTGGGTTAAAGACTTTGCACTTCATTTTCATTTACAGGTAATAGATAGCTACTGAAGGACTAAAAGTGAGGGAGTTATATGACCATGTTTGAACTTTAGAACCATCCCTCTGGCAATAATATGGAGGAAGGACTGGAGGGAGACAACAGAGGCAGAAAACAAGATAGGGGGCCAATGCAGGCTTTAAACAAGAAACAATGAAGGCATAACCTAAGGCAGTGGCCCTGGGAATGGAGAGAAGGGATGGTTTCAGGAGCTTTCTGGAAGGGAGAAATCAAGAGGATTTGTCAATGACAGCAGGCCCTGCTGTTTGCTTGCCCCACCATTTAATGCCCTGATATTCCCTGCTAGCAGAGCTCTGATTTAATTCGTGTCCACTTTTAGTTCATCCATGCACATAAGGAAAGCAACCAAACCTCTAGCTCAATGTTAAATGGTGATCTAAGCTAACCATGGTGATCCACTCCTATTGCCTGATTTAGGAGTGGGCATATGATCTGGCTGTGAACAAGGAAAGGATGGGGAAGTCCTTTGAGGGCCACCTAGGAAAAGTTTTCTTATGCAAAAAAAAAAAAAAATCGTATGTGGGGAAGCGGCTGGATTTTGTCACATGTGAATGTGTAGACTAAAACTCAAGCAGCCAGCTACCTGGTGACTATGAGGGGAGCTAGCCAAGGTCAAAGTTACCGTGTAGATAATGGGAGAATGGAAAGAGAAAAGTAACATGGGTTCTTGATGATGTTCTCCAGTCAGTGGATTAACCAAACCTGGAGCAGCTCTATTTCACATCTACTTATTTAGTGAGATTTTAAAAAAAATCTCTAGGTGAGAGGGTTTTTTGTCACTTATAGCAAAGAGGATCCTAACTGACATTGGAGCCAACTAGTTTTAGGGAGTTAGGTAGATTCGATGGTTGGAACTAGTGCCCAGTACTTGGCTCAGGTGCCTGGGTTGATGGAGATACCATCACAGAGACTGGAAATAAAAGAGGAGTGTGTGGATTTCTGGTAATATTATTATACTAATTACTCATTCCTTCTATTCAGCAAAAAGGTGAGCACATTCATTAGTAATTGCTTATAGCTAGTAAGAGTGTAAAGGACAGTAGAGATCATGTATATGCAGAGTGCTAAGAGGACACAGATGAGTGGGGCATGGGGGTTGGAATGGGAAGACTTCCCGGAAGACTGAATTAACAGATGCTACTGCTTAATGCAAACCAGAGATCATCATCCAGTCAGGAAGCTGAACGTGAGAACATCCCATAATCAGCATTCAGAACAGCGTTTCTCAACCTGTGGGTCGCGACCCCTTTGGGGTTTGAACGACCCTTTCACGGGGTCGCCTAAGGCCATCAGAAAACAAAAAGATATTTACATTACGATTCATAACAGTAGCAAAATTACAGTTATAGAGTAGCAACGAAAATAATTTNCCATCAGAAAACAAAAAGATATTTACATTACGATTCATAACAGTAGCAAAATTACAGTTATAGAGTAGCAACGAAAATAATTTCATGGTTGGGGGTCACCAAAACATGAGGAACTGTATTAAGGGGTTGCGGCATTAGGAAGGTTGAAACCGCTGATTTAGAAAGAATTTGACTATAACTTATTGTTGGCTCCAACTGTTCACTCTCCAAGTTGCCTTATTTAAAGACAGCCAACTTGAACAGCAATTAGAAGAGCAAACTGTTTAACTTTTAACCTGGAAATAGCAATGAGTAATATTACAAATTCCAAAAAAGTTAAGGAACATTTACTTACCTTTGCGTAAGTTTTTCCACCTTTTAATTCCTGACAAAGATAGAAAACACTATAAGGTTATCATGATTAAAGATTTAAAATCAAATATATGTCAAATAATTCTGAAGTAGACATTTACATGCTGGCAAATATAGGTAGTATAAGTCTCATGATCTTAAATCCAACTATTTGGATGCCCCTCCCACAAATGATCAGAATTTTTATTTAGAATTTAACTTAAATCTGAAAGCAACAAATGGTGAGAAGACAAGCTAATATTTATTTGCTGAAGAAATTGCCAAAAAGCTCCTAGACACAGTGCAAGAACCTGAATCACCAAAGAATGGTTAAATTCCTTACTTAGTTAAGCATATTAACACACTGTATAAAGATTTTAACAAGAGTTAAAACCCCCACCCCAGAGATAACCCTTGTTATCAATTTTTAGGAATTATCCAAAAGATGCTCTATGTATATGTATGCGCATATATATATATATATATATATATATATTCTCCTTTTACAAAAATGATAGCATACTACACACTGTTCTATACCTTACTTTTTACACACACACACACACACACAGACATAAACACACTGGGGGTGCCAAAAAATGTATGCACATTTTAAGAGATGTTATCTATGCTCAAGCAGTATTTTGCAGTAATCAGAAGTGTCTGGATGCTGATAGCAACCACTTTGAGCACCTCTTGTAATTGCAGAAGTCAAACATGACTTGTATTCATCTTTTGTTATCAGTATATATTATTACAATTAATATAGTTTTTTCCTTTCTTAAAACATGTATACATTTTTTTTTGCACCCTCTGTATATGTGTATATGGTATTGCTCCATGTTAGTATAATAGAAACCCTCTCATTTAATGTGAACAAGAATGGCAAAAATGAGAAAGAATAAAAAATAATATATAGATGTCTAACCACTTTCTTTTAATTTAAAATATATAACTGTATATTAATTTGCCAAATTTCTCAGATGTGAGAATAAGTGTAAAACACTTAGGACATTGCCTAGCACACAGTATATGCTGTTTTTTTTTAAAAATATTTTATTGGGGAATTGGGGGAGGGGAACAGTGTTGGGGAATTAGGGAAGGGGGCCAGCTAAATTGTTGTTCTTCACTCTTCGTTGTGGAGGGCGCCAGTCACGGTCTGGCTTCCCGTCGGCAGCTCGTGGCCTCTAAGCTCAAGGTGCTGTGCTCAATCTTAGCTGCGGGTGGGCGTAGCCACAACCATCCCATGCTGGAGTCAAACCAGCAGCCTTGTTGTTAAGAGCGCATGCTCTATCTACTGAGCCATCTGGGCAGCAGCTCAGCTCAAGGTGTCAAGTTCAGTCGCAGTTGCGAGTGGGCGTAGCCCACCATCAAACAGGCAATCTTGTTGTTATACCAGCTGGGCCACCCTGCCAACTTGTTGGCAGCTCAGCAACAGCTCAGCTCGGGCACAGCGTCACTGGCCCATGTGGGACTCTAACTGGCGGCCCTGTTGCTCAGAGCTTGCGCTCTTAAGCCAACTCTTAACCAACTGACCCACTCGGCCAACCCAGTATATGCTGTTTAAGCATTTGCTATTATAATTAGGGCCAAACTTCCCTTTCCCCACTGTTTAAAATGTGATTGCTGGATGGAGTTGTCTCTTACCTTTCTTGCATAAACCAGATACATAATGCATTATCTACCAATTCTATCATTAAAGTGGTGAGTGTAAATAAGTTGAGAAGCAATCTAAGATAAATTGTATTATTCATGAATATTTACTGTCCCTCCCCATCTGTGCCCACTGATGCTGGTGTGGCCATGCCACTAGATCTACTGCATTATGAATTATTGAATTATTTTTCTTTCAAATTCTTTCTTGCATTTTTCTTATTAGGTCATTGTCATATCCCTTAATAGCATCCTTTGTTAAATAAAGCAAAACAAAACTTACTCTGATGATCCTTGTCTCTTCTAGCTAATTTTTTTTCTTTGCTCCCCTCTATAGCTAAACTACTCAAAGACTTAATTTGCAGTATCCCACTCTCTAGTCAGTCATTCCAATTGGCTTTTGTCCTCATTTTCTCACTGTAATGGCTTTTAAGATTACCAATGATCTCCCTTTTCATTAAAGCCAAAGGTTCTGTCTTCATCTTACTTAACTGCGCAACAGCATGTGACAGGCTTGCCTGCTCCAGCTCCTCGCTTACATCTTTTTCTGTAAACTTCCAGTGTCACAATTGCCTGGTTTTACTCCTACCTCACTGGCTGTTCCTCAGTCTCCTTTGCTGGACCTAGTCCTGTACTCAAACGTTGTAGAAAGAATACTAGCTGTACCCCAATTATCCATTCTCCCCTTCTCCATAGTAACAGAATTTTCTATTTTTAGCTGGACATCTGGCTACCGAAAATGACATTTTCTACCTTCCTCCTGTGCTATGGGACTATGACTAAGACCTGACCAAAAGCATATAAGTGCTATGTATGAATTCTTGCTCCTTTCCTGTACCCGCTAAGAGTAATGTGTACTACTTCTAAGTGTGAGAGTGGTCCAGGATTTGGCCAAGGGCCTCTTGTCTTCTCTATCTACACTTTCTCCCTGGGTGATCCCCTTGAGTCTATGGCTCTAAATAAAAACTGTACGCTGATGGCTCTCAAATCTCAATCTCTACTCTGAACCCCCGAGTGCCAGACCAGTATTTTAAAATGCCTACTTGACATCTCTACTTGATGTCTCATAGACACCTCAAATTTAACATCACCAAAATAGGCCTACTGATCTCTGCTTATCTGTCCCCCAAATTATTCTACTTCGAGTCTACCATTTCAAGTAGCATAATCGTCTATCTATAAGCTCAGGCAAAAGTGGTAAGAGTTAGCCTCAATTCTTCTTTTTCTCTCATTTGCCACACCCAATCCATTAGTGGAGGTCTACATCCAAAATCCATCCTGAGTCATGCCATCGTTACTGTTAATAACTCCCAAGCCAAAACACGCATTCCTCACCTGAACTGTCCCAAACACCTAAGTGATCTCTTTGCAATTCATACTCCACACTGCAGCAGAAGTGATCTTAGAAGATCATGTCTCTCCTATTAAAATCCTCAAATCGATTCCAATTAGAATAAAATCTAAACTCATCACCATGGTCTGTAAGGCCCTACCTGACCTAGTGCCTCCAACCTTATCACCACATTTTCCAGGCTGGCCTTCTGTCCCTTAAACATGTGGGATTTGCTGTTTGTCCTAAATGGGCTTCACAGGACTTTTCAATCTGTAGCTTGATATTTTTCATCTGTCTTAGAAGAGTCTCAGACACAATCTCTCTCCTCTCCTTCTAGGGCTCCGATTACATAAATGTTAGATTATAACATTTCCCATGTTTTACACTCTTTTCTATACAGTCCACCCTTTTTCTGTAATTTACTCTGGATATTTTCTTTTGTCTTATTTACCCAAGCTCTCTTCAGTTATGGTATACCTGCTGTTAAATCCATCTGATGAGACTTAGTGTCACTTCTTTAGCTTTACATTTTATTGTATTTGTCAGTTTTAGAATTCAAAATGCTTTTTAAAATAGTTTCTAATTTTTTAACGAAATTCCCCATATTGTTCACTAGTTATTGTTATTGTAAAAGTTTGTTTTTGATCTTCCAAATATCTGTATCTTCTATGGGTCTGCTTTTTTTTAAAAAAATATTTTATTGGGGAATTGGGGGAGGGGAACAGCGTTGGGGAATTGGGGAAGGGGAACAGACAAGTTGCTGTCCTTTTGTTCTTCAGTCT